TTTTATAATAATAGCACTAGTTGTAAAAGTTCTACACTTAATGATATAGGTAGATGGTTAGATAACATGGAGTAGTGAGAAAGAACTGCTATCTTATGGTCTAGAAGCCAGCAGGCACGGTCTTTCATACTTTATTCCTCCCTTTAAATGTCTGCTTCTCCAATATTTATTTTATACTTAGCTGACCCAGACCTATTTATATATATATCTATAAAATTAATAAAGTTATATTTGTGATTTGATTTTTAAATACGCTTATTCACTAAGAATTTTCTTAATAATGAAAGAATATAGTATACTTACAAATAAAAAATATTGAAATTACTTCAAAAAGTGGCACATCTTTAGAGGTTGGAAGCACAGGTGACAAATGCAATCATCGGTCAAATTCCGATTAATTAACTAACACATCTTTATATCAAAGACTTAGACATTTATAGCAAAAATAGCTAGCAAATTTAGCTGGCAGATTTAACAAAATAGCTTATTATAAATTTATATTTATAAATATAAATTTTAATATAATTATCTGCGAGTTCTTCATTTATCATTTCGGTGAGTTCTTCAGTCATCATCTAAAATATGCATATAAATACTCATTTACATAAATCAGTTCAAGAACAAAGATAAAATCACATGCTTAGAGCAAAAGTAGCAAATTTCGCATCTTAGCGCAAGACAATTGTTGCTAGCTATTTTGCTAAAAAATAGCATGCTACAAAAATCTTAGGTCTCTGCTTTATATGTAAAAATCACTGATGAAAGCATTCAGCAATAATATATATAATCGTGATTTGTATATGTTTCAGGATTTTGCTCAAAAATTTTGGCTATTCCACACATTGTAGCTATATTCTCTCTAAAGCATATTTAATGTTGTAATAAAATTGTTATTTTTTAAAAAAGTGATCACGGGTGTGATATTCGAAAGCAGGCTGTAAGTGCTATTTCTTCTGAAATAATAGTCTTAGGAAAATTTGAGTCGATATTATCACATTACACAAATGACATAAAATTTGTTGAAGTATAATTACAATGAAATAATTATCAACTTCGATATTGTTATGATAGAACAATAATATTATTACAGTTTTACTGTATTTAAAATCACATGTATGATCAGAGATTACGCTTAAAAAATACACACATGATCTGCTGTATGACAATCTGATTGTTTGTATAAACTATAAAAAGGTAGAATATACAACTATTTCTTACTAAAAATTTTTTTCATCCTACTAAATACGTGAATATGTCTACTACCAGAAAAACAATTTCACTTCCTACAATCAACGAAGTTGAAGGATATAAGACAACAGAGGATTTTCTAGAATTTTTAAGCAAGCAAGACTTAAGACTGAATGATGAGTATTTTAATATTCTTCGAAAACAAGAAGTTGATAGCGAGATATTCCTCAGCTTAAGTGTCGATAAACTTATGCGAGCTGGGTTAACACTGGGTCTAGCTAAAAAAATCTCAACCTGGATTGAAAAAATCAAGAGTGAAGAACAGAGTAAGTAGTATCATGACTGCATTCGAAGACACAAAGTGTCGAGTCTCTGACTCATATTCCAAATCTATATTGCTTTTTCTGCAATAATTTTATTTATTAACTTGGGCCTCATACTTATTATATAGATATGGATACAAAAGATCAGAAAATAAAAGAATTGAAAGAAAAACTAAAAACACTTCAGCAAGAGAAGATTGCAACCTCATAAGAAAATCTATTCATAGTATGCAAGCTATTATGTGGAGTGCTTCCGATATAACTAATAATTTTTGCAATGTAGATCTTTATCAACTACAAAGCAACATTTTTCTGATTTGGATAATTATGAAGAAGGTTGTTTGTATAACATATGTCCACATCTGTAGAAATTTTGTAATCTTAACTAAACTCTTCTGATCTTTACAAAACAGAAAAAAATGTAAAAAAGATTAAGAGCTATTCTTCACCGTTATCTTTTGCACTTCTTAATAATCTTATTAACCATCATATCAAAGATAAGCAGTTACTTATTCACCGTCCTTCAGAATGTGTTGGCCCACCAGTACAAATTTATCATGACATTTTTAGTCAGTTCCTGTGTGATTACTGTAATAAAGATTTAGAAATGGGAAGAGAACATTATGAATAGACCCTTGAGTTCATTAATGGAATGGCTGAAATATATCGCAGTGAACATGAACGTTTTATAGTGTTTAAAGAAAAAATTCGTAAATTATTTGGTGAGAAATTAAGAATGATTAGCCTAGAAGATGATTCTAAAAATGATGGTGTATTGGAATTTAACGTCTTTTCAAAAAGTGTTTTACGCTTTCTTGTTGAAATAAAAAATGAAATTGGCACTGGTAGCTGTGATCTAACTATCCAGGCTAGTGCTTCTTTTGCAAAATATTATACTCAAGAGATATATGGAAAAGTACTCAAATAGTGCAACTAGCTGTCTTTTATCTTGTGCTTAGCTAGACCATAGGTGTGTATTTTAGGGGCAGTATATATTGAGAAACTTATTATAGATCCCTTGACAGACTTTATACCTTTTATTTCTACAAACAATCGAGCCTATGTGGAGCAAGTAGCACTACTTTTCAAAGCTTTGTGCTTGGGAGTCAACAGGCTAAAAGAGTATTATACATCGCTAGATATACCTACAAATCAACAAAATTCATATTGTTTTTTTCTCTATCCGAATCAATACAAACACCAAGATACAATCATAGAATTTACATATGAAGAAAAACTTGTTGATCACAAGCTTTTTTGGAAAGCTATAACAAAAGACAGGCAGAAAATTATTGTTAAGTTTGTGTAGTAGTATAATCATAGAGTACACGAACTATGTTACGAAATTGGAAAAGCACCAAAATTACTCTACATTAGCAAAGAGATGGTGGATGGTTTCTATATGGTAGTGATGGATTATGTTGAGGCAGAACCACTTTATAACTGTAGCTCACTTAGTCGTAATAAATATAAGGCGATTTTAAGGGATGTCAAAGAAGCTATTGACAAATTGCATGAGAAAAGTATAGTTTTTTCTGACCTTTGTGATTCCAACATTCTAGTTAACAAATCTCAAGGCCAATATAAAGAAATGCTTATAGATTTCGATTGGGCTAGTAAAGATGAAATTAAGTGCTACCTATCTTTTATGAATCATAAACATATTAATTGGCTATCAGGAGCTGAAGATAGGAAGAAGCTGAGTCATAAACACGATGTTTATTGGTTGGAGCTATTGAAACATAAATATTTGGGTAAGAGTGTAGATCTAGAATGATTAGTTAGTATGGTATTTGAGGATTAAGTGGAAAACAAACAATTATGTATAACAAGCTGTACATGTATTCAATATAATTTGTTTTTAATGATATAATAATAAACAAATTCTTAAATTAATCATATTCATACGTTTCAGAAATATTGTATGCCTATCTCTCTTGGTTTTGTTAACGAGAATTAAAATATTTATTACCTGTTCTATTGATTATGAATTTCGGCCAAAAATTTTGATTTTCGATTATTACCTTTGTATATTCTTCAGGCAAAAGAAATACCCTTATAATTGAGAGTTATTTTTAATAGCATTGATACTAGCAAGTCGATAAATAATAAAATTTATATAAGTTTTTAGCAATGATTGAGATAGAATTTATACGTTTTATTTTTTGCTATACAAATAAAGCTGGTCACAGTGGCTCAATTTCACATAAATAATCAGTTTACTTTTGCGTATATATTTCGTAAATTTATTTATTGTATTGATACCGATGTATAACTCACATATGATTAAGAATTTTAAAATTTTTCTTGGAAAAAGTGATTAGCGGGACCAAAAGTCACGCACTTGTGATTTTTATTTGAAATTAAAGGCATTAATTAATAAAAAATATTTTCAAAACGTATTCAATATTCTTCCAAACATTTTTGGTTATATCAGCGAAGCTGATAAAATTATATAAATTGATATTAAACATGCAATCTAAAGATGATTCATTGAGAGAATTAAATTTTAGACTTATAGTCGAAATTGATAAGCTTAGAAGAGAGAATATCAATATCAAGGCCGAGAACACAAGAATAAAACAGGCTATAGAAGAAAATGCCAAATGTGAAGCTGAGTATGAGATTAGAATTAAGAAACTAGAACAAAATAACAAAGAGAATAT